CTTTCTTAGATCAAAACACAGACATGAGTCTCTCAGGCTTGTATCTTTACATATACTACTCAAATAAGTTTAGGATCATACCATGACATATAACTGTAGTATTTAGAAAGAATTAGGTGGACCTTTACCTCTTTTGAGTTGTATGTCACAAAGATCATTCTCTTAATTATTTGAAAATGAAGTGGTCAACAATGTAACACATCAAAGTTCATTAAAATTGAAAAATCCTTACAAAATTAATGAATAATACCCCAAATTATATTATTAAAACAAACCCATCATGTGTGAAAAAAAACACCTGAGGCCTGAATCACCTGTAGGGGTTGGTTGGCACCCAGGGGTGGTGGGGTAGCCAAATGGTTAAAGTCTCATGCTGAAGACTCAGCTTTGATTCCCCACATGGGTACTTGTTTGCATCCATGCAAATGTTAACTGCAGACAACGATAACTTGAACTTTACTACTGACAAGACACCTTGATCTTGTCCCTCCTGAAAATCTTTGAGGAAAACATTTGAGTATTTCTTATTTCTTTTTTTCACTTATAGCTCTGTAAAAGCATCTGACGAAGTATATACGGATAATTTTATCCAAACACATGGATGACACAAACAGTCGTACTAATTACATAAAAAAAATTGTTTATTCTAAATGTTACATGCTACACATACTATCTGTATAAAGTCAACTTAGCTATTCTGAAAATCTTTCATTTCCTGTCTTTTAATAACTGAAGTTCTTTAGACAAACAAATATGCAGCATCTCATTCCAGCCATGTGACAAAATGTTATTGAAATATCACAGGCCCCAAGAAAAGAAATCTGGTCATTATCCTCTTTAATCAAAAGATTTGGACACAAAATGCTACCTCAACAAAACATCACAGCCTCTTTGTCCATAACATCTTTCACAAATTGCCATAATAGCAACTCCGTTTGTAGATACATAAATGATGTTGCCTTGAACAACATCAAAGCGGAGTAGAACGATGACTGCAACGGATGAACAATTGTGTGTGATCGCCTCTCATAATTCCTTCTCATTTATGAATACTTCCAGACATATTAATCATATTTGTGCACATCTTTCAAGTAGAGGGATGATTCTGTCACATCCAGTATGTCTTTGTCTACTGGGGCGCTGAGAGAAGATGGCCCCTGACATGCTAGCAGTGTTTGTATTCGCTTGTTGGCCATTTCACACTTGCTGTAATCCGCCTTAGTGAGATCAGATTCTCTGTACAATTTTATGGAACACTGAAAACGTAGAAATAATTGTACATCCATCAGTTGGAATAACTAGGGTATAAACAGAAATGATTTTAGCGTGGTATTTCGGACTGCTGATATGAGCCGACATCAGTAGAACATTGTGAACTAACAATTTCTGGATGGATGGGGACTCATCATATTTAAGGGCAAGTTGCTTGTGGTGTGGACATAATATTGGAGTTTAAAGTGAACTAGATTACAGCATGGGTATTTCCCATCCTACACAGATGAAGGCAGTTATACGGGATGCCACAAGATGGCAGGAGTATTAATGGATGCAAGTGTTATGCAATAAACAAAATCTTATGCTTTATGAAACACGTACAGTCGGGCACCGTTGTGTCGAACTCTGATAACTCGATATCTCGGTTTTCTCAATATAACATCTCGGTCCCGTCAAAATCCTTCATAATTTATCATTATTCAAGCGCTTTTAACTTGATACTGATGTCTCGATATTTCGGAAATCTCGATATAATTTCATGGTCCCAACAAGCAAAATCACCATTTCAACTCGATATTTGCAAAGAAACTCGATATTCACCTACTTTTCATGGGCAAGTATCCCTCTGAACTGAGGTTGTTTCCACACGTTTACATACAGTGCAGCATGAATCAAAGGGATGCGGTAGTGTAAACTAAATAGGGCTAATTGAGTTGAAGGTGTCACTTGTTTGTTATTTAATTAGGGTTAATTAAGAAGGAATTAATTAGGAAGTACTCACTGTTATGACTAAACACTACTGACAACGGCTTATAGTTTCGAATCAAAACATATTGATAAATGTTTTGTTTTCTTTCATAGTGATATGTGATGATATGCCCTGGTCGGATGTCTCTAAGTTTGGATAGCTCGATATTTTTTCTTGGTCCCATGAATATCGAGACAATGGTGCTCGACTGTAGTTGGTGCTACTGGTATAGCAGGACATGTTCATTCTTTTCGCAGACACCTAGTATCATCACTGATTTTCACATCCATAAAATTTTCATTGTGTATTTGCCATTGATGCCAAAGGGTATCAATATTTTCACGCCTTGATGTATTTTAATACAAAAATGACCTTGACCTGAAAATTTCACACAGAATTTTCAACTATCAGATACAATCTAAACATGCATTCATAATCAAATATGAATTGATTTGGCTATATGAAGCCATAAACTCCATTATTCACGCAGACTTAAACGACTTTCGTTTTATTTCCATTCTATAACCACAGACTTATGCTGCCACTCAAACCATCCAACTCCAACACAACATTACTCAAATTGAAAATACAAGAACCAAAATAGCATATCAGTCATATGAAAATTACAAAACAATTTTCGTAACTGAAATATCCTCTATGAAACTTTTCACATCCAAAATAGAACCGAACACGACCCAATATGTCTCGCATGCCTGCCGCCAACCATCCCTGCCAGACGTCTCCCACGACAACAGATCTTTTTTAAGGCTCCAGGATTACATGGAAGCTCTTGAAGACTCCCCACTGTCAGGAGGGCTTGGTCCCCCTTCAGAGTGGGCCCAGTAATGAAGATGAAATGCGTTACCCTTGAGACCAACATTACATAAGATCAGGGGGATTCAGTCACTGCTTTTAATGATGTCTCGATCAGGTCTGTTCACGATGACAACTACAAGGGCCAAACGAGCGGGGATACACAGCAGCCCTTACCATACTACTCTCCAGAGTGACATACACTTGAATATATCTCAGACGCCTGTCACAATTATTGACCATTTTGTGAAGTAATTTTTAATCATTTTTAGATTGATTTGGATTTTTTTTAACTCAAGTGGACAGAGTTTCTTAGTGCTGTCATGCTTCCATTCAAGGTGTGTAGCAGTGGGAGAGTTGGTAGTGCAGTAGTTTGTTAGGCTGGGTTTGATTCTTAATATGGGTACAGTTTGATCAGAAATTCATGACAATCCTTGTATGGGATGCATGTCAAATTGTTAAAAACAATTTGAAACTAGAGACTTTTTACAGGAAAATCTATGCATATATTTCCATACAACAAAACTCACTGAAGTATTTATGCATTCCAAATACTTGCATCTTAACTCTTGTAGCATAACAGAACTTTTTGTCAATTACACACAATCATTTAAACTGGAAAAAGATTTATTGACTCAAGCATACACAAATAGTTTTTTATACTCAGATCATAAACTGAGCTGTGCCATATTACCTTTAAATCAAATAACATGAGATTTCTTCAGCGTATTTCCATTAAAAAACATTGACGTATTTACGTGAGTATTTATGTCTACTCAGATAACCATACAATCTATCAATGTGAGAAATCAGTCGAGTCCTTTATCGATATTGCAGTTGAAACTATGAAAACAGGACTTTATCTCACCATGCTTCATGAGGCCGCTATCTAAGAACCCCATTATGTCAAGATATGTCTGGCTGATAGCAAACAACGGTATGAATAACAATAATCATGACCCACTAATGCCACATTCCATCAACATAAACTTGACACAAATCAAAACAACGCTTTATCATGTATGAATTATAGAAAAAAAAGAAAATTTATTTAGACGAATATTGACCAAAAATACATTCATATCTCTAAATGTTCAAGAAAACACATCAGTTGAATCGTAAGTTGAAGAAAAATGTTCCATGCCATGTAGTCCATGATCAACTAACTCCACAGATCTAGTGAACTATATTTTGCTGTCTAAAGTGGATCTTGATTAAATCAACTGCTACGATTCTTGACCTTAAATCGCGTTAATTGGGCACGCATCTTGCAGACATCTTCAGCAGAGTGTGGGCTTCTAAAAGACCCCGCTCAATCGGACAGACACAAGAGAAGGAATTCCACGACAAAACCCTCTGCGAGTATGGAGACTCTGTATGCAGTGCTTGTGCTACTTTCACACGGAATGGTAATGCAATTTCCTTCCCCTCTGCTGACCTTTCATCGGTACTCAACTCCAACGATATTCTTGGAATCCTCTCTTCACTATTTCGTTTTGTCCATTTACAACATATTTCAGTTATCTACATGCAATTTTTTTTTAAACTCTTTAAAAAGTGTTAAAAAAAATCATAGAAAATCAATGTCGACTAAAAGAGATAGAATGATGTCATAGATTATGTGACATTTATATGAAGACGTTTTTTGCGCAATTGAAGATATCAGAATATATGGAAAGAAGAGTACTGGCATCTGTCATAAAATATCATTGGTCTTAAATGATCTCCTTTAGGCAATAATAAAATAATAAAATACAAAATGTTGAACTCAGAAATAAAATCTTACATCATCCAAACCCATGGGAATGATGATCAAGGTACTGTGGATGCACGGTTAAACTATGGAAGTGCTGATAAAGTACTGATAAAGTACTGTGGATGCATGGATAAACTATGGAAGTGCTGATAAAGTACTGATAAAGTACTGTGGATGCATGGATAAACTATGGAAGTGCTGATAAAGTACTGATAAAGTACTGTGGATGCATGGATAAACTATGGAAGTGCTGATAAAGTACTGATAAAGTACTGTGGATGCATGGATAAACTATGGAAGTGCTGATAAAGTACTGATAAAGTACTGTGGATGCATGGATAAACTATGGAAGTGCTGATAAAGTACTGTGGATGCATGGATAAACTATGGAAGTGCTGATTAAGTACTGATAAAGTACACTACAGGAAAGTTGTGGCTGGAACCCAAACAACAACATGGAGAACATACCTTTCAAAACATTCTCAGTTCCTCCAATGTTTACTTCCTGGATGAGCTTCTTGTTCAGCTGAAACAAGAAAATAAATTACTTTTAAGCTGAATAAACAAATACACAAATTGAACATTTTGAAGTTTGAGGAAAGAACCAATCACAAAGGTTTTAGAGGTTTTAACTTGTGAAACACATGAGTACAAGTACGTAAATAGCTAAACTTATGGAGAATGTAAGAACAAGACGGGTTGTACATAACTGTTGCACAATCAGTCTGCAAGGGTTGTACATAATTGTGTTGTACAATCAGACTACATGGGTTGTACATAATTGTGTTGCACAATCAGACTGCAAGTGTTGTACAAAATGTTGTACAATCAGACTGCAAGGGTTGTACATAATTGTGTTGTACAATCAGACTACACAAGTTGTACATAATTGTTGTACAATCAGACTACACAAGTTGTACATAATTGTTGTACAATCAGACTGCAAGGGTTGTACATAATTGTGTTGTACAATCAGACTACACAGTTTGTACATAATTGTGGTGTACAGTCAGACTGCAAGGGTTGTACATGACTGTATTGTACAATCAGACTACACAGGTTGTACATAATTGTGTTGTACAATCAGATGAAAAGGTTGTACATAATTGTGTTGTACAATCAGATGAAAAGGGTTATATATAATTGTGTTGTACAATCAGGTGAAAAGGGTGGTATATAATTGTACTGTACAATGAGACTACAAGGAAGGCATGCAAAGGTTTTGCGTTATTGTATTGAACAACCAGATGACAAAGGTTGTGTGGTTTTGCATTGTAAATTAGACAAAAAGGATTTGTTATTGTATTGAACAACCAGATGGTTGTGTGTTATTGGTTGTGTTATTGTATTGTACATCCTTGTACAAAGGTTTTGTGGTTTTCTATTGTAAATAGATAAAAAAAAGATTGTGTGTTTTATTGTATTGTACAACTAGATGACAAAGGTTGTGTGTTATGTATTGTACAACCAGATGACAAAGGTTGTGTGTTACATATTGTAAATCAGATGACACGGGTATCATTGTGTTCCTTGGCTACATGTGTGTTAGTGTGTTGTACAATCAGACAGAATGTGCATCAATATGTGACCAGTTGTAAAGATGGTTGTCTGTTCCTGAATAAAACATATCAACAGAGCCTAGTAGCTCACAACTCATCTTCTGAGTTCACGAAAGATTTTCTTAATGAGACAGTAGCATTCAAGAGCTCTCTCATGGACGGAAATAGCAAAGATAAGATGGACCTTAGAAGTCATAGCAATTCAGAATAAATTTTAGGTAAGTTTGTTTCATACATTTTCACTCAAATTTATTTACAAACACAAAGCCAGTTATTTTTACATCATGTTGAGCTTAAAATTAAATAGCTGTTTTTCCTGGCACCAACCTAAAACATATCCTGTCATCATCCTCCATAAAAACATTGTGGCAACAAGTTTCTACATGACGTAATTGTCAGAAAAAGTTCTTTGACTAGTCTGGCAACCACATTTGCATGCCATTACTGACAGCCGGTATCTGAGTTGCCATCCCCCCAATAAATGTTTCTGTGATTGAGATCCTATCAGACATTGTTATCTCACTATTGTTGTCCCAGAACCATAACAAATCCCCTGTGTAAGGCAGAAATACCAGCATCTGTTCCCCTATCCTTCCCCGACCATGTGACCAAAAGTAATTGACTATAAAAGTGATTGACACCAAAAGAGTTTGACACTAAAAGTGGTTGACACCAAAAGAGTTTGACACTAAAAGTGGCTGACTCCAAAAGACGATGACACTAAAAGTGGTTGACTCCAAAAGAGGTTGATACTAAAAGTGGTTGACACTAAAGTGGTTGACTCCAAAAGAGGTTGACCCTAAAAGTGGTTGACACCAAAAGAGGTTGACACTAAAAGTGGTTGACACCAAAAGAGGTTGACACTAAAAGTGGTTGACACCAAAAGTAATTGACACTAAAAGTTGTGGTTACCAAAAGTAGTTGACACTAAAAGTGGTTGACACCAAAAGTGGTTGACACTAAAAGTGGTTGACACTAAACATGTTTGACACTGCAAGTGTCTGACACCAAAAGTAGTTGACCCTAAAATTGGTTGACACCAAACGTGGTTGACCCTAAATGTGGTTGACACTAAAAGTGGCTGACACCAAAAGTGGTTGACACTATAAGTGGTTGACACAAAAAGAGGTTGACACTAAAAGTGGTTGACACCAAAAGTAGTTGACATTTAAAGTGGTTGACCCTAAAAGTAGTTGACACTAAAAGTAGTGGACACCAAAGATAATCGACTCTAAAACAAAGGACTGTCCAAGTTTTATTTACCCAGATGACTTACATTGCTCAAGTAGTTTTTGTACTTTTCTTGAACTAACTTTTACTCTCATGAACCTCTTCTGTAACTTCTAGGACATAAGTTCAAGACTATTTCTTTCACATGAACAGTGTCCTGTGATGCCGCTTTTTCTACTGTGATTTCAGCCTCGAAACAGTGGCTTCGCAAATGGTTGTTAGCTACAGAATGTCACAACAAAGTTACAAACAAATGGTTTTCATAATCTTTTCTTTTTTTGTCCATAACACAATAAAGATTTATGCAATTTTAAACTTTGGCATTTTTTCTCCCAGTTTTCCAAAGTATCTTAATTCGCACCAGGAAGTTGAACTGTCTAACCTCACAAAAATGTTCAATACTCAGTAAACATTTACGACTTTATCTTCTTTATGTATTAATCAATATTTATCCAGCATGAATCGAAATGTGATGAGAGCCAATGTTATAACGCGTCCTTTAACAAATCTTTCCCTAATACATTTTCCATACATAAATTATACCTTAATGACAACTGTATGGTCATTAAGAAACCTCAATGACCACAAGTCGTTAATTACAAATATCTACTTCAATATTAATCCCATTTGTACACCAGATCCTGTAGAGAGCTGCCAATCATTAAGGGGAGATCACTCATGGAGAACGTCCTCCATTTTCCCAAGAGCTTTGTCTTGACCGTTGCATGCAATATCGTTATTAAATAGACAAGGGGTGGAATAAATAGACGAGAGTGGAATATTATCACCTGCATTATATCAGTGACGACAACCAAAAAAGGCTGATTTATGTAAAGGATAAAATGATACGTTGTGTATTGATCAGAGTTATACTGGACCCACTCAGAGTCTCCTATTGAGATCTAACCAGCTGGGTATTATCTGTAAGATATATCTTAATACAACCTCTTTTTTCATCACTGCAGATATTGCGTTATTAAGTAATGAAAAGGTTGAGACAAAAGTCTGCATGTCTGTACAATGTGAGCAGACGCAGAGATTAGGATAACAACTATGCCCAAAGAGAGTCTGGTTTGTAAATGTCTCAATAGATTTTGTTTGGATGGTGCACATTCTCTTCAATATTTCCATCAGAACAGGAGTGTACAATTATTGTTGATAGGTCTATTACACTGGAAGCCTGCTTCTGTGAGGCTGGCGTCATAACTGCCGATCTGAGAGAGTGGTACATTCAGCCCTCTTGCTCCTGGTCTTGTTATCGTGTGGACATGATATCAAAGTGAGCTGGGTTTAATGCTGCTTTGAACAGTTTTTTTAAAGAGTGGCAAAACAATATCCACCAGACTGTGACACAACAGGGATGACTTCAGCTTTCCAAGAGTCACTTTCCCTTTATGTCCAGCAATATTCCAGCAACCCCAGCCTTTGGAGTCTACATTTCACTACAAAAATAAAATCGAGCATGTCCTTTAAACCAAGATTTCAAAGAGATTCATACTTTTGGATAAAAGTTGTTTCATCAAGGTTACAATGTTCAAGGCCTTAGTAAAGTTTTCAAAATGTTTTATGCAAGCCATTTCAAACTTTGACACATAAGTGACAGAAATCATGTTGACTGTAATTCCCTGTTCTGACTTTTACCCAATGTTCAGGCATGTTTTTTTCAGGTGAATGACTGACTTACTTTTGCATGTGTTTGAGGTGGCTGGGTCCGGATACCCTGCCCTTTTCCAGACACCTCGTTGAAATTATACAATGAAGATTTCTTATGACTATGAAAAGAATTTTTTCACTTTTGTTTAGAGGTTTTCTTGAATGTAAGAGGAAAGCTTTCAGTGCCATAGATTGTAGAAATACCCCCAAAACTGGTGACAACAAAAAGTATGGGTACTGAGCTTATAAAACAAGCAACAATAATCTGGGATAATATGCAACTTATTTACCACTCATGATTTTATTTCTAAATTTTTAAATTCTAAAAACTGTTGATGTTTGATGTATGTATAGATTCTGTGTGAAATAACTACAAACTGCATGATGATTCTTTGGAATCTATAACTGGTTAATAGAAACTTTTAATGTCACAAATGGATGTGACAATTCTTCTGAGAGATCCATGTTAATACTGGCGCTGACAGAATACCACAGATCGCAGATCACACTTCATCGTAATGTAGTACCCAGTGGTTGACAGCAGGAGCAACAGTCTACGCAATATAAATATGATGGCCGATCATCAAAGCACCCATGTACCATGAAAAACAAACATCAATAATACTTGAAAGCAGTTGTGTGGCCAACAGTATCTAGGTCAACATCCAGATCTCAGCAACACAATTTTTGGAATAATTCTCTAACACACTTCATCTGGGTATAAATCAATCTACACAGCTTATGTTTAATACTTGATATTGATGTGTGTAGATTACAAAGAGGTCTGCACTAATCGTGATAATTCAAATCTATCTCAGAAGCCTCCATCAACATCGATACCTCCTGACTTACAAGCCAAGCCATCAGACAACATAGAAATTCATCCAACGTCGTCCCTCTGATAAGACCAAAATCAAAGAGTACTCATCAGGAATGCAGCATCGACAACAGTAATAAACTGTGAAAATAACGACAAATCTCACGGGGAAAATAACCGTACGAGTCCTGGAACCTCAGCTGCCCATCAAAGCTACAGTGACAGATTTTGGACGAAAACAACATTAAAAAATGTTTTCCGTCAAGA